TCTTCCATCAGAGCAGCTGAACACTGTTTTACACTCTTACAACACAAACACTCATCCTGCTCTAACACATCTGCTACATCTGCAGGTGGACACACTGCTGAAGGGGCAGCTGCCGCTTGTTGGCATAATAAGGTCTCTCCCTTTTTAGTGACGCCGGGAACTGGTGAAAGGGGAAGAATCGGCAAGACAGCTGGCTTATCGACAGGAGACTAGCACCAAACCAAAAGAAATACTGCGAAAACACAATAGAAAAAACATAACCTGAACAGTGTGTCTGGTCCGAGTCCCAGAGAGATGGGAATCACAAACCCATCTCTCTGGGATAATTACATTAATAAACTCTTTTTCAAGAGTTTCAGATTATTTAATTAACTGGTTAAAATCTACTGATCTTCTGATTAATTCCCACTGCAATCTGGAAATATTAAAAATTTAGGTATTAATATCTCTCCTAAACTTGCAGATTTAACTAAATTAAACCACATCACACTTTTAAATAAAATAAAATGCAATCTGGAGAGATGGAAATCTCTACTCATGTCACTCATTGGAGACTCATTATAACTCCATGGAGGGGCATATGTAATATGACAAGACTCTGGATTGAATAATGGCTCGATTTTTGATTGGCAGGGCATCCGAGGGGATGTGCGACGCTGGTGTGCATCCTGCCTAGAGTGTGAGCTGGTTAACCAACCAGCCATTCCAAAAGCTCCTTTGACCATTCAGGGAGTTCCCGTTTGAGCACATTAGCATGGACCTCATTGGGCCATTTCACCGAAGTACACACAGATATTACTTTGTATTAGTTCTGGTGGATTATGCAACACAATATCCCGAAGCGGTGCCATTGAGTACCATTTCTGCAAAGAGAGTAGCACAGGTAAAATTTCAGGCCATCTCACGTGTCAGTATGCTGAAAGAGATACTGATTGACCAGAGCATGTCTTTCATGTCTTGCGCACTAAAAAAGCTGTACAGCTTACTAGATATTAAATCAGTTTGTGCCAGCATTTACCACCCGCAGACTGATGGGCTGGTGGAGTGCCTGAATAAGGGTTTGAAATCCATGATTCATAAGTTCATTGACGAGAATGAATGCAATTGGGATCGCTTATTAGACCCTCTGTTGTTTGCAGTGCAAGAGATTCCCGAGACCTCCACAGGAATTTCTCCCTTTGAGTTACTGTTCGACAGAAAGCCATGGGGGATGTTGGACCTGATTAAAGAAAACTGGGAGGAAGGTCCAAACTCAGTGAAAAATTTGATTCAGTATGTCCTATACTTGAAAGCAAAGCTGCAGACACTGGGGATATTATCACAGGAGAATTAGCTCCAGGGTCACGAACATCAGCAGTCCCTTAGTTTGGCAGGGCTAGACTCAACACATACAGGGAGTGCAGGATTATTAGGCAAGTTGTATTTTTGAGGAATAATTTTATTATTGAACAACAACCATGTTCTCAATGAACCCAAAAAACTCATTAATATCAAAGCTTAATGTTTTTGGAAGTAGTTTTTAGTTAGTTTTTAGTTTTAGCTATTTTAGAGAGATATCTGTGTGTGCAGGTGACTATTACTGTGCATAATTATTAGGCAACTTAACAAAAAACAAATATATACCCATTTCAATTATTTATTTT